CCTGTGTTGTACAGAAGGTCAGATTAGATTATCACAGCGGCCCCTTCTGATCTTGGAATCTATGACCAGATAGATAAGAGAATTGACACTTGACTCTATAGACTGCAGCTCAATTGATTGGGCCTTTCTGATACTGACCCATTATATACACCATTTTTGGATAGTGCACAGTAGGCATTTTATTGCTGGAAACTTGTTCCTTTTTACATCCGCTGTCCAGAGGAAGGTCTGGAGGAGAAAGGGATAGCTTTAAGATGCTAAGCTGACTTCATTCCAAAGCAGTTGGGGGCCCTCTTGTAAGCCACTTCAGATTTGTAAAAGCTAAATCCAGTCTTTATAGCCAAGTTAGTTAAAAGTGTTTGGGCCACAGACTGCTGCTGAAAGAGCAGCTGGGCCTGTAGCAGACAGAAGGGAATGAAGTCTACAGAGCCATTATATTTTCCTAATTTCTTTCTCTTTAGAACTAAAAACAATAATAAACATTGAAAATAACGAAAGGTGTTCAATTGTTCCCTACTATTTTAACTTCTACTTTGAATAATTTAATAGTGGAAAGCTATAGTGCATACCTCCAAAAGGAAATTTTTATTTAAATGAAATGTGTAATTATGGAGCCTTATTCATAATAGCAATAAGACCTTCCAGGATCTATGTTAATAGGATATTCAGCGTTGGGGTTTCAGTGCACCCAAAGCATGCATCAAGTATTAACACAGACTTTGTTGTTCCTACTGAATACTTTGTAGAATAAGAAATATAAAGATGACTTTTTTGTCTGTTAAGCATGGAAATAACCAGTTGTGTCTATTTAAATGTTTGTTTGTAGACTCCATTTACTTTTGGCTTGGGTCAAAGGGCACCATATACAACAGGCGAGCATTGTCTTCTTTGTAGAAGTGAACGGAAAGACACCTTGCTTTCAGAGAGCGGGATTAAAAATTCTAGCAAAACAGCACTTTCTACATCTCCAAAAGCAAATAGTATGCTGCATCTTCCACTGTGGGTGTGTCCAGATTGTCGACGAACAGTCGAGAAGGAGGAGAGGCATGCCACGCTAGAGCAATCTCTTGTGGTAAGTTTCAGTGTATGGGTTGACTAAATTGAGATGACACCAGGATGGGCTAGACGCTTGCTTTTTTTTTTTTTTTTAATCCATGTAATGTATTCATTTGCTGGGGAGTTTTGTTCTAGAAATGAAACTGAATGTGTCACCTGGCTCACTAGCTTTGAAAATGAGTCTCTTAAGAATCTTTTGGGCCATAAGATAGAATTCAGTTTTGGATCCTCTTATGTGATTTTTGTTAAACCCTTTCAACTTTTCTTCTCCTACTCTTTGCCTTTTCCCTCTTTTCACTCAATTTTATTCTTTTTACCTTCTTCCATTCCTTCTTGTATGATCCTACCCCCAACTCTTACCTTGTTTTGTCCATTTATGCACGATCTTTGACTTTATTTTTCCACCCATCTGTTCTTCAGGCTTGTCCTTTCAGTCTTCCTCTCAGGTTACTATTCTTTCATTGCTACTTTTCTTCAGGTCTCTGGTTTTATCCATTCTGCTCTCTTTAGAGAGGCTATTAAACATATGTCTCTTTGCATGGTATGCAGCCAACGAACATTTGTGCCATCTGCAGCCCACAAATTCGGTATACTAATTTGAGACTCAAGTTTTAATTCTTAAATTTTAACAACCTTTAAATTGAATCTTCCTTTTTAAATGGTAGCTCATGTACACCAAATACAGGAACAATGCATATATGCCATGGAGAAATATATTGGGACAGAGGTTTTCAATTTGTGGTCCACGGATCCCTGATGGTCCACAGACTATCTAAGATTTCCAAAATGGGTCTGCACCTCCATTTGACATTCTTTTTAAGGATCTGTAAATGAAGAGGATGAAAACCACTGTATTATGATATAAGAAGTTGAATGAAGGAGCCAGAAAAACCCCAACTAAGTGATTTAGTGTCCTGAGCAAAATTCTGCTAGCTCATAGAATAGAATTTTTATTAAAGTCCCATATTTTAGATTAGGATGGAATTCTGTAACACTTCCAACTAGCTTGATATTGAAGGACCAAGGGGCATCTATTGATAAATCAACAAGCCAGTTTTAGAACAGTGATCTGTTTTATACAAAAGGAATCTAACTCCGCTATAATTTGAGTTTTAAGTTAATGAGCTAGACCTAAGCATATTTTACCCATATTAACCATAAACAATGTTTGATGTACTTGTCATTAAATGTTGGCTAATGAAATGAGAATTACGGTAGACAGGCCATCTTCAGAGAGGAGGTCGCTTAATTCTAGGCCTCTCCTAAAAGTTGCAGAAAACTGTGGGCTCAAAGGACTGTCTTGGCCAAGTCACAAGGTCTAGGCATTTTTTTAAAAATTCAGCCTGAAAAGAATGAGGGAGAATAAACAGTGAACTGAACACCAAATTTTGAAGAATGATAGCAAAGAAGTTGAACTCAGTTGTATCAAACTACAGGTAAGTCAGGTGAAATAAAAATGTATAAGCCCCTAGATTTAGCAACCATTACACTTGTCACGCTGTTTGCAGTGGCTCATGACTCTGAGTGCCAACCTCAGGGTAGAATGTCCAAAAAGCTAGGCAGAAACCTCAAACTGGTTGAATTTTCTATAATTAGATGTTACTGAATTGGTGACAAGTGTGTGAACTCCTAAAGCACTGCAACAGTTTTACCATGGAGTCACACACAGTCCCCTTGGGCATTCCAGTCCATCTTGCAAACCAGGCAAACTGGACTATGTGATAAATGGTCACGTTACACCAAAAATCCCAACAATGTTCAGCTTACTTCCAGTCCCAAAGGACCAGTCACTTACCCCAAGACAAAGCCTGTAGCCAATAATGTAATAAAGTAACTAACTAAAGCTTTATTAACAAAAATGGGAAATAAGAGTTATCTGCAAGGTTAGACCAGGGAAAAACCACACAGTGAAAATTACAGACACGGGCATAAATATACTGGCACCTGAAGAGAAGGGAGTTACCTTACAAGTGGAGAACCAGGGTTGACAAGGCCAATTCAGTCAGGGTGGATGTGGTCCACTCCCAGTAATTGATGAGGAGATGTCAATACCAAGAGAGGGAAAATTGCTTTTGTAGTGAGCCAGCCACTCCCAGTCTCTATTCAAGACCAAATTAATGGTGCTAAGTTTGCAAATAAATTGTATCTCAACAGTTTCTCTTTGACGACTGTTTCTGAAGGTTTTTTTTTGTTGAAGGATGGCTACTTTTAAATCAGTTATTGAATGTCCAGGGAGATTGAAGTGTTCTCCTACTTGCTT